CATATAAGAACTTGATAATTTGAACTTTTATCACTTGAGAACTGAACCTCGGCGAGGTAGGATCTTTCTGCTCCCGAGGTACCACGTGAACTAGACAATGTTCACCTGTAACCAGGCGAAGGTCGTTAGACTGTATCCAGTCAAGCGCCCTTCGCGCAAGCAACTGAACCTCCTTGTCCTGAGGAAGTTTTTTGACTCCTCAGGAATCACGGGGGTGACAAGGGTCGTCCGCAGAGACAGTGGCGGCCTTATCGTCACCTTCGCGGAATGGGGAGAGGCCCAGCAACTAGAAAACCTAAGAGAAATCAACGGGATACAGATCCTAGTTGAAACCTACATAGAGGACAACTTGGTTTTGGGAGTCATCTCCCACACAGAAATTGAACATCTAGAAAAAGAAGAACTGGCCGAGCTGATCGAAGACCAGCTCTCAATAGTACGGAAGCTGACCAGTACAACTGCACTGGTTGGCTACCCCAAGAAACTACCAAGCACCGTTTTGCTGGGATGGGAGAAGATCCCAGTAAGACCGTATCAACGAAGGCCTACAAGATGCTACAAATGCCAGAGGTACGGCCATCTGGCGCGGAAGTGTCGTGCTCGGGAGGTCTGTTCCAGTTGCGGGACACCCGGGCACCAGGACACCAACTGCTCGGCGGCCGCCAAGAAGTGCGCAGCTTGTGGTGGCCCTCATTCCTCCTCCGACCGGGAGTGTCCCAAGTGGAGGGAGGAGTGTAGGGTGGCTAAGTTGCGAAGTAAGGAAAGACTGAGCTACAAGGAGGCTCTCCTTGTAGTGAAATCTGAAGAAAAGACCAATCAAGACCCGAACAAGACCACAGCAAATAAAAATCAAGACCCCAAGAAGACCACGGAAAAAAAAGAAGCCAAAATTAAACCCGATTTTATAACACTATCATTAATACCGTTTATACACGTGTACGAAAGTATTCCAGAACAAACAAGACCAAGAAGAAGAATGGAAATTGAAAAGTAAAAGAAAAAACAAGAAAAGGAAGAAGTCCAAAGAAAATGAGTCTACAAACAATCAGCTTCGGCCGAAATAGCCTAACGGCGAAGTGGCCAGTAATCCCCAATACAATACAAAACTTTTGATGTGCATTTTCGGGGAATCCCTGCAAGGAGGAAGGATGCTTATGTCCACTCCATCGCAACTTGTCAGCAATGCTCCGAGTTTGCTACTGAAATCGTTCCAGAAATTTCTCGTGTCTTAGTTTGTTGATGTCCTTTGTTGATAATCCTCCTTAGAGAAGGCACGTAAAATGATGAAGTCCAGCAAACACACTGTCAGGAATTTCTTCAGAGTTCCCAAATTGTGCGAATGTGTCAAGAAACTCGAGCTGTTTCCTGAGGATCTTCATAGTTGTAATCTTTCCCTTTCTGGCAAATACACTCTCGGTATCACAAACACTGAATGCATGTACTGCAGGAAGAACTTGGCAGATCTTTCTCCCCACATCCTGAATCACTCTTTGTATGTCTACGAGTCTTCTTTTGTTGCCGACTCCAGGGTCAAATAGAACTTTCAGTCTGATGCTCTGTGCAAACTTAAGAAGAAGAATGAACACATCAGTGTCTGGAGATCGCACAGTTATAGTTACTTTTGCTTTTTTGCTTTATACTTTTCGCCACTGATCGGCTCCTGAATGTATCTGTATTAGCACCAGTGTTGGTCAAGTCTGGTCTTGAAAGAGCTCAAACTTCGTGCCATCTCAACACTGGCAGATTGTTCCAAGAGTTTACTCTTCTAACTCCAAAAAAGTTTGCCTTCACGGTTTTCTGGACAAGGGGCTTCTTCAACCTTGAGCTGTGACCCCTTGTGGGGCGGGCGTCCGACAGCTCCAGGTATGGACACTCGACTGAGCAGTGCCCTTTGAGATGTTTATAAACTTCAATTAGGTCACCTATTGCCCGTCTATAGTATAAGCTAGGCAGTTGCAGGCGCTCTAATCTCTCTGGGTAACTGAGGTGCCCTAGCGCAAGAACCAGTCTGATGGCCCTCCTTTGGACATTTTCAATTAACTGACAGTCTCAAGCATATCTCTGGAAGCAGACGGAATGGCAGTACTCCAGACTGGAAGCACCTTAATCTTGAAGAACGTTACGAGATATTGTCTAAATGTCTGAACGACCTTCTTACAAGAACTATTAGTTTAGTTGCTTGAGTCACCTTCTCACAATGACACGAGAACTTGAGTTCGTTGTCAACGTGCACACCCATGTCCTTTTAAGGTCCCTATTAGTGCAGTTTCTTCTTCCCGTTGGGACATGTGATACGCCTCCTTACTGTTAGTACGACCTAGGGCCAATTGCAAGAAGCTCCGTGGTGTATACCATGCTGTAGTAGCCCCTTGGTTGGTGTGCAAGAAGCGTTCTGGGCTAAAAAAAAAAAAAAAAATCTACTTTTCGTTATTGGAACGTGGGAGATTTCTGTGGTACTCGTACCCCCGCCCGATGACCACTACGATGGAACTATATTTTGAAACCAAAAGAAAAGAAACAGAATTGGATGCACATGAATTGTATAAATCTACAAAGGAATCATATTTTTTATAAGATATCCTCCATATAGAACAGCACATGAAGAATTTTAGTGTTCTTTTTAAAGGAATTCCACGTTTGTTTAGGAACATCCGCCAGCCTCTACTTGCCTCATCGCCTCTTATATCTTCCAAATTCTCCTAACCACCATAAAAGGTAAGCCTTTAAGATAACTAATCCAAATAATTTATGCGTAGAAATGTATGGAAATCAAATTAAGCTAAAAAAAAGTCGTAAGTGGTCTATTTGAAGTGGTGAGAACTGCTCCATCTGGGATGGTGAATGACGTCCCTTATCAGAAATAATATCGACCCAATTTTCGTAATGAGCGCAATTAATAACCGTCCAGCACTACCAAAATATTTATTTCATTAGTATAAATACTTAGTAGCCTAAATTTCATATTTTAATAAGTCCAAATATGCCAGGTAACCAGTGCCAGGTAGTTCCCAGGCATGTTTCATTTGTGTATCAGTTTAACCACAATTTGTTACTAATAAGATAAATTCAGTGACTTAAATTCATGTTCTTTTTTTTAATTCCCTTAGTGACTCAATGTATTGCAAGAAAGAAATACCTTACCACTTTTGGTGCAACATTTGGAGTGGTGGTAATAATTCACTTTGACACTGACAGTGGTAGAATCAAGTGCAGATATATTGGCTTTGTATGTCCATGATTCCAACAAAAATGAATAATGTCTTCCAAAATAAATTAAATTTAAGGTCTTTTTATCTTTTTGGTCATCCAGGGAATTTTAGGATTTTAAGTTGACCAATGTTTTCCAGATAGGTTAGGTTAGGTAGGTTAGTTTGACATTTTGATGTAGAACATTACAATTTTAAAGAGCTTATAATTTTTCTATGAATTTATCTAAAAAAGAAAAAAAAGACCAAAGCTTTAGAATCACCATAAAAATCTACATTAGAAAAAAAATCAATTTTTTGAGTGTGTTGCATATCAAACCAAACAAATCTGAGTTTCCATTTGAATTTTTTATTTTCTTTTAACAGACACAATTACCCACAATATGTAGGTGTTGGAAACTTATAAATATTAACCCTCATAAATAAAGATGTTTCAGAATTCGCAAATTTAACTAACACAATACTGTATTAATGACTTTATTTTCACTTACAGGTGGAGATACATTGAGAGAGGTCACCTCATGTGAGGTCATGTAATTCACCCCCAAGCGTGATACCCCTGCTCTCAGCTGCCTCTTCAAACTATCAAAGTTTGCCCTTCTGAAATCTGGGACTTTAGTGGAATTTTCCTTGCAGCTGCCTTGAAATTCTAACTGGAATCTAATTTCTTTGTGATCGCTGTGAGCAAGTTCGTTACCTACCTCGACATTAGTAATGAGGTTTTCTCTGTTTGAAAGAACTAAATCGAGTACAGTATATTATTACCCTGGATGGGTTCAGTTATATGTTGGTTTAGGAAACAGTCCTGGATTGTTTCAAGAAAATCCTCTGATTCTGATTTACCCGTAAGGTCAATCCAATCTATTTGGCTAAAGTTAAAGTAGCCAGTGATATACTGCTATGGCTAGCTTTAACTAAGGTTATGGCTGAAGAATAATATCCTGGGCGAAAAGGACCAACAGAAATACCTAGGTAAATCTACCTTATTTACATATATTTACAAATAAAAGATACAAGAAATAATATAAATGCACTTCCTACCTACAGTTCAGCATAAGCACCACCAAACATTCCCTAGGACTGGAAAGGACAAACCTGAACTACATAGTGGATCACAAAGAGGAGATAGAAGCAGACAGACATCTGCTCAGGCCAGAATATGGAAAAATACAGAGAAGTAATCTCCTGGGCTTTCACCCACGCTGCTCAAGAAGCTCTGCCTCTCAGCGCATGCCAGATGAATGTTATTTAATTTACAAGTTTACGTATTCTACTACACATGGTTGAGGAAAAGTTTTTAATGGGAGAAGATACGACTATTTATGAGAGTAAAAGAGGGAATTGATATGAGTCAAAACATATATTATAACATTGGGTACACAATCAAGAACAAATAGTCGTAACACAAAATGGCTACCTGGCAACTCAATTGGCCGTGCCCATGACTTATCATTTTCGTCTGCTATGTGAACTAAAAAAGTGCGGGAAGTTCGAAGGGAAAACTGCTCATTCACAGTTAACGAGAGTGAAAACAAAAAGTTCACACATGTCTTAAAGATGAAAATACCAAATAAATGAAGAATAGAAGATGTATGTATTAAAGTTTCAATAAAATAGGACCTTATTTGTTCCGAAAATGACGTACAAAGTCTCTTCATTGATATACA